AAATAAATAAAAATAATTTTTTTAAAAAAGAGAGAAAAATTCCCCAAATCCTATATAACTTCTTTTATGTGATTCTACATACTCTGATATATATGATTTCTGTGTATAGATGGACTCCATATTATTCCTAATCATACTTAAATAGGAATTACTCTTTTACACTGAGTCCTCAACATATCCACAGGAGCCTCCTTCCCCCAGAAGGGTCTCTAAATAAACACTTACCAGCAGATGGGCTGTCCCCCCCCAAGGGGCCACCTGATTGATTCTCATTCAGCCCTGTTGGAAGGCCAGCCTGTAGTGGCTTCTCAGACTCCTTCAGTAACTGAGAACACCCGACCTGTCTCAGGAAAAGTTTATAGTTAAGTTAGCCTAATTCCTTTCTGCCTCTCTACAGCTTTCCTCAACATTTCCCACCATCCTGGGAAACCCTAACTCTAACCCTTTGCCTCGATCTCTGAGTTAATGGCCAACTCTGGTTCAGAAAGAATCTCTTTCAATAAAGCAAGCAAGAGTCCCTAACTGGCTTTTTTTGGATATGCCACTGAAGAATAGGATGTTACCCTGGCTACCCATCTTGTCCTTTTCCTTCCTTGGTGCAGAGAATGAACTAGGAATCAAGATACGTGGGTTCCAGTCCTGGTTCTGCAATCTGTGGTATCTAAGAAAGTCCTTTAACTTCCTTATCACAATTGTCTTCATTATAAAACAACCTAATTTATCTAACATTACAGTTTTAAAGCCTACTTTCTTTTTCTCTCTTCCCAACATTTTCACTTTCTGGTCCACAAATTCTTTCCTTTTCTCTTCCTTTCCTTCTTTACAACTAAGGCCATTCCCTAATTAAATAGTTCTACACCTTTTGTTTTTAGTAGACTTTGAAAAAACCAAGTCCCCACTTCAAAGTCCCACCTTATGGCCCTGTCCTCACCGGGAAAGGTTCTGCTCCTTCCTGGATAACAAAGCCTTCAATGATGTGGGTGAGAATCTGGGGCTTCACAATGGCCTGTGGGGGTTTTGAGTCACCCATTTGTCTGGACACCAAGGCTAGTGTAGGAGCTGACGGGGCAGGGGTCAAGGCTACTAGTTCACTGCTTGGGGTATTAGTATTCACACTGGCCACTGGTTCAGCTTTGTCTGGAAAACAAACACAGATTAAGGAACAGATAATGGAATAACATAATTGATCCATCTATTATCTGAGCCAGCCTAATCTTCCACAGTAATCCACATTCACCCTGATCACTCACCTTAGAGTCCCTGTTTTTGGATCTACTCTTTTGTCTACCAAGAGTTCAGGCCCATTTTCTACTGAACCAGATTTATCTTTTCACTCCCTGAGAACATTTCTTTATTTCCTGTGCACTGCAACAGAATTTCAGAACTCAGTTACTCACCTCCAAGACTGCTTTTCTCATCCATGACCTTTGGGCTCTCCGCTACTGGAGATGCCTTGGCGGGAAGTATTGAACTCAATGTAGAGACCTCATCTCTGTCCTCCTCAGACTCAGCTTTACGTTTGACAGCCAATGTCTGGGGTTTACCCTATAGAGTAAAGAAGAGGAAAAAAAAACAAGATTTCTGAGTCAAAGATAAAAAGGAGCATAATACTCCCACACTTTAGGGAAAATTTTCTTAATTCCAGATTCCCTGGTTGGTATGTTACCCATGGTACACTTAGATTCCTGGTCATTCCCAAGAAGCATAATTTCTGTATCAACACAAAAGAAAATGCAGCATATTACTTAATCCTGACCTAGGTCTTGAGATCCTGTATTCATTATGGACCAATCAAGAACTTCCATTTTTCCAAAGCTTAAGGCTATCTTGATCTAACTTATTATGGCTAACTTATTAAGGCTATCTTGATCTAACTTATTATGTACCCAAAACTCAAGAATGATTTCAGTAACAAATTTAGGAGCAAGAAGTTCAGATATTATATACATTAATCTCTCTCTCTCTCTTACAAAAAAAGAAAATAAATACCAGTATTAATCTTCTAACCTCTTTATTCTCTTATTATATTCAGCTCTATTTCTACTAAGCCCAAGTCCACTCTAATTAATGACAGTGCCCTCAAAATCATCAGACATCACTCACCGGCAAATGCACAGACTGCATGTAGAAGGCAGCAGGGACCTGGGCTACAACTGGTGAGGAGGTGGTAGTTCCACTCTTTACTACATGTGCTGTCCCCTGCACAGGAGCAAGGGTCATCCCAGGGGCCAATGCAGGAGGGCACTCCTGCAGAGCACCAGGAGCCTGGGATGAAGGTGGGGAGGAAGCCAAATGGGCCTGGCCAGGCTGCACTGAACCTGGCATCCCTCGAGAAGTAGGAACAGCAGCTGCCAGCTGTGCCAACCCCAAAGCCTGTGCCTGAGCTGCACCTGGCTGTCGGGTACCTACAACTTGCACAGGGATGTGGGGTGGTGGTTGCTGGGTAGCTGACATTTTAGCAGCTCCTAATTGAGGAGGCTTGATGGGTGCTACAGATGGTTTGGATTGAATAGGGATTGGTGGCTTGGGGGTTGGGTCAGGTGGAAGGGACAAGGGTGAAGACTGAAGCATGGGTTGAACCACCAGGGTTTGGGCTTGCTGCTGGGACTGGGAGGGTGGGACTTGCTGAGTAGGTGGGACTTGTGATGGCTGAGGGGCAGTAAGGGTTGTGGCTTGCTGCTGCTGCTGCTGCTGTTGCTGCTGCTGCTGTTGTTGCTGTTGCTGCTGCTGGGCCAACTGGAGGTGTGTAGCTGTGTGGAGGAGCTGAGATTGACGGTGCTGGAACTGCTGTTGGTGGTGGATGGCAATCTGCTGCTGAATCACCACCTGTTTCTGCTGGAGGTGGATCTGTTGCTGTTGCTGTATCAATGAATGGGGCTGGATCTGTGTGTAGGTGGCTGTAGGAAAAGTCCCAGAATAGAACAAAGGAAAAAAAAAGAGCAGAAAAAAATAACCACTCTAAGTTAAAAGGAAAATCATCTGTCCAAGGCGTACCTAGGTTTAGAATCATACATGAATGGAAATCTATCCTATATGGAACTTGGACATCACCTTGTCCCTATTCTTTCCACTGAATCAGACATTACCAATTACCTCTAGTCTTAAAGATCTCAAAGAAAGAACTCCCTTGCTCAATCATTTAACAGTCCTCAGAGTAATTTCTTGTTTTTATTATATCTTTGCCATACGTAAACATCATATCCTTTTACTCTATACTCAGCAAAGAATGGTTGTCTTCCCACGCAGTTCTCTCAAAGTCTGAGTCTACGTTTTATGCACGTTCACATCCCTAGAATCTAGCACAGTGCCTGACACTTGAGAAGCACTTAACTGAAAGAATATCTATAGTTAACAATAACAACATCTTTTCATAAATGCCTCAGTTTATGTCATATCCAAGAAGGCTTAAGAGTCAGCAGCTGAAGGCTCTAGCCTTACTTTCCTCTATTATAAACTGAGTTTGATCATCTCCATCCCACCATATTTTACCAGACAATCCAGAGCACACACAATCTATGTGATATGAAAGCCCTTTGGATACAGAAGTGCTATAATAGCTAGCAAGTACTATTAAGTTCTAGTACTTAGTACTAGTAATAACTAATTAACTCTTAATTTTTGTGGGTAAGATTATCCAAATATATCAGTGACTACAGTGCTAGTAGTAACTAGCTAGTACTAGTTATAACTAATTGTAACTAAGTACTAGTAATAACTAATTAAATCTTACTCTTTGTGAGTAAATTATCCAAACATATCAACAAGTAAGGTGCTACACAAACAAGGCAAAAGTCAACATTCCCAAGTAAGGTATACACATCTAACTATATCCTACTCACAGTGTGAAAACAAGTATAAACTATTTAGGGTTATTATTATTTATTCTTTTTGTATCCTTGTCATTGATATGATGATCACAAGTTGGCTACATTAAACCATGGCTCTGTTTGCTTACGTGCTCTATGGCACTTGAGGTATATCTGCTCTACACTGGATCAACTACCATTAAAGAGTGAGGAGAGAATCCATCCTTTATGCTAGGTTGTAGTTATACAAGCTTTTCAAAGATACAGTCCCAGCACCACTACAACACAGGAGACAATTCAACCAGACTGGGTGAATGAATGGGTAGAGTAACAAACTGAAGAACTCAGGGCCTAAGAAAGTGGACAAGGCAGCTTGTAAGCTGATGACTGCCTGATGGAAACAGATAAAATCCATATCTGTTACCTTTCCTCCTATCCCTGAACTACTATGTTCAAGGCTGATATGACTATCTTTCCTTCCACACTCTAGGGTCAAAAGAAATGGAAAATAAGAAGGCAAAGAAATGTACTCTGAAGATTTCAAATGAGTCCTGACAGATGCCATTACTAGAGGCAACACCTTACCTGAGCTAATAAGCGTCTGGCTGGGCGCAGGTGTGGCTGTCCGTGTCAGGTTCATGCCCACGTTCTGCTGACCAGTCCCATCTGCTTCTGCCTTCTTGGCTGCTGCACTATCTGCCTCTGTCTGGCTGCCCTGGCTCACAGTCACTGTTTGGGCTGCAGGCAGGGGCTGCACTACTCCTGTACCCTTCCTAGGACAGCTCCCACCACCCATTCCTGAGGAAGGCAATTGACCCAAACCCCCAGGGGCCTGGCCACCTCCACCTGAACCCAGGGACCCTGGGATGCTATTCCCACTGCCTCCACCAGCTTGACTAAGGTTGAGAGATTGGCCTGAGGCCCCAGAAGAGGCCTGTGCCACAGCTAGAGTCTGGTTAGAGGCCTGGGAGAGGCTAGAGACAGGAGAGGCTCCAGGAGGAATGGCCTTCTGAGTGGAGCCTTGCATTTGGGACCCTTGGGCTGAGGCTTGTTGGTTCCTCACTGCCAAGTTCTGCACCTGAAAGATATGAAAAAATAGAC